AAGCGATAGCACCAGATCTGCCAGCTGACATTCTACTGCTGGATAGACATCACAGGGTGCAAAAACCGGCGTTCTTACCACAAGACACCCCCAGAGATGTACTAACTCACTTACACTATTTCCATGCTAAAGAAGCACTACTTCAAGCGACGAGAACGGGCGGCGATCCACCACAAAAATACAAACATATCAAAATGTTACACCCGGACGAAAGGGACTATACATTTTTCTCCCAAGTCCACAATACCTATTCTCGGATAGATGGGTTTTACGTAAAGGGAACGTTCCTTAATCAATTAATAGCATGCTCGATAGGGAACATTACGTGGTCTGACCACGCCCCTGTTACCCTCGAACTACGAGATGCATACGACTATACACACAGAAGACTGAATGAGACTCTCTTAAACGACACCCAATTTTGTGAGAATCTCACCAATGACATGCACAGGTATTTTACCACCAACCAAATGCCGGAAATCACGCCGGAGACCCTATGGCAGGCACACAAACCGGTCATTAGGGGATCCCTCATAGGTAGGGCGAGCGCACTGAAACGGGAGTCCCACAATAAAACGAGGTACTGGCTAAAGTCACTATATAACCTCAACAAACAAAACCAGCTGACCCCAACTCCTGAGCTTAAACGGCAAATTCAGGAGAAACTAGGGGAAATTAAAGAACACGACCTGGCAAAAACAGGGTATCACCTTAGAAAACTTAGGACGACACAATATGTACAGGGTAACAGGGCAAGCAGACTATTAGCCAGGAGACTGTCACACAGAAATGTTAACACTAAGATCCCATTCATTCACAATCAAACAGGGGAAAAAAAGGTGACACCCAAGGACATCGGGGATGTCTTTGCGGATTACTACTCATCTCTGTACAATCTGGAGACTGAGGTTGACACGAGCCAACCAACTACGAGCGGTATAGAGAAGTACCTAGCGGGGATCTCTCTACCATCACTGACGGCGGAACAAATAGCTACAGTACAGGAAGACATCACAGTAACAGAAGTACTTCAGGCCATATCCCATTTACCAAGCGGGAAAGCCCCAGGCCCAGATGGGTTCCCCAACAACTACTACAAAAAATTTGCACACACTCTAGCCCACACACTTAGCAAACTTATTCAATGCACTCACTCACAAAGCGGACGCACCGGCGGAGATGCTGAGTGCACACATAGTAACACTGCCTAAACCAGGGAAGACACCTACATGTAGTCAAAACTTCAGACCAATCTCATTACTCAACACAGACATTAAACTGTATGCAAAAATACAAGCCAACAGAATAGCTGACATAATCCCGACATTAATTCATGACGATCAGGTGGGATTCACAAAAGGCAGACAGGGCTCGGACAACACCAGGAAGGTAATTGACCTATTATACAGCCTGACTGGAAAGGGTGAGGGGGGGATACTTCTGTCACTAGATGCCGAAAAGGCTTTTGACAGGCTCAACTGGCCTTTTCTGCAGGCGGTACTTGGTAAATATAAATTCCCCCCAGCCTTCATAAACGCCGTCAGAGCACTTTACTCCCACCCCACAGCCAGAGTCTTAAATTCTGGGTTTGTATCCAAACAAATACGCATTACTAATGGATCGCGACAGGGGTGCCCCCTGTCGCCGTTACTTTATATTCTAGCGCTGGAACCCCTGGCAGCAGTTATTAGAGCTGACACGGACATACGAGGAGTTCACATGGGGACTAACGAATTTAAGCTCAATTTGTTCGCGGATGATGTCCTAGTAACACTTACACGCCCATTAATCTCACTACCAACCCTGATGACAAGAATCCAAGAGTATGGGGCAGTATCATACTACAAGCTAAATATCGCGAAAACCCAGGCCCTAGGAATAAAATTAGGTGGCGATCTAGCGAATAGACTGGAACGGGCATTCCCTCTAGACTGGAGACACGACCACCTAACATTCTTGGGTATCAAAATAACCAAAAACCCAGCTCACCTGTTCCGACACAACTACACCCGACTATTGAAAGAATTTACAGACACCCTGCAAGCATGGGAGGGTAAATACCTGTCGTGGATAGGGCGTATAGCGGCAGTCAAAATGACACTTACTCCTAAGATACAGTATCTTTTCCGGACGCTCCAGATACCAATACCAAAACAGTTCTTAAAAAACATGCAACATATCATTAACTCATTCATTTGGGAAGGGAAAAAGGCAAGAGTAGCAGCAGGGACGTTGTATAGACCGGTCAAAACAGAAGGATTAGGCCTACCTAACCTAACAACGTACTACAGGGCAGCATACTTACATAACATTGCACAGATTAACAGGCCTACCGGCGCCCCACAGTGGGTGACGATCGAAGCCAGCAAAGCACCACACGGTGATCTCCGGTCACTCATGTGGAAACACACGCAGAACAACCAGGAAATAAACAATCTCCTACCAACTACCCAAACCTTACTGCGAATGTGGAATGCAATGAAACCCGACTTAGTGACACAACCGACGTTACCCCTAGCTATGCCAATGCGCACCATCGGACTGGAGATCCCTACATTCCCTTGGGAAATATGGGTGAAAGGCGAGATACGCCACATGTACCAAGTGACTATTACCGTTCCCCGACATACAGGAAAAATACAACCTCCCTGCTAAAGCACTATTCTCCTACCTTCAGCTCAAATCTTATGTATGTACTAGGCTAGGGAGACGAACGGATCTCACAGCACCGACACATATGACAGAATTCGAAAAACAAAGCACGGGAACAACACCACTCAAGAAAATAATGTCCTGGGGATACCAGAACTTAATAGCGCAACAATCACATACACTAGGTCAGGTTAAATCGTCCTGGCAACGAGATATCAATGGTACAATAACAGACAGGGACTGGGAGAGGGCATATACGGCCCATAGGGGTCTTACAGCATGTGCCACACATCTGGAATTACAGCGCAAAATTTTATACCGCTGGTACTTAGTACCGGATAAATTGCACAGAATATGGCCAACGACCAGTAATATGTGCTGGAGGTGCGGGAGGGACGTGGGTACAATGATACACATCTGGTGGGCATGCACCACGCTCAGACCATTTTGGATAGAGGTAGCGAATATATTGCAGAAGATATTACCAGCCCCAAGAGTAGACACACCTCAGATGTGTCTCTTGTTCATCTTGCCAGAAAAAATACCGAAACAAATCAAATTGATACTATATCACACATTAATATCAGCCAACCTAGTGATATCCCGACATTGGAAAAAAGCATTCGCCCCACCCATAGAGGACCTTGTAAAACAGGTAAACCAAAATTGGGAATACGAAAAAATGGCCCATGCACCTGTGGGTTAAACATATCACGAGCTAAGACACCACCCCTTCCAATACCGACCACCCTAGCGAGTCTAACGACTCCTGAAACATAATTCGAGAGGCGCCACGCAGAGCGCCAACAGACGTCACCGTACCAAACATATATTAAAAGGGGATTTCTGTAACTAACCAACGAAGCCCCGGAAACCACGAAAACCAGGAAAGCATGTATGTAAATGTCTAACTATGATGCATACTTATATGTATATGACTACACATAGCTATTGTCCGTGTAGCCAGCATGCAATGTACTCCCCCCCCCCTCTTTCCTTATTCTGTACCCCCATGTTTCTTTTTGCTATAAGACAAAATAAAAATTGTCAATTGAAAAAAAAAAAAAAAAACTAAAATGAAATCTGTTCATCTGGATGTAAATCATCCAGATGAACAGATTTAATTTTAGTTTATTTTATTTTAATGGTTTAATGTTGGTTTAACCCCTTAAGGACACATGACATGTGTGACATGTCATGATTCCCTTTTATTCCAGACGTTTGGTCCTTAAGGGGTTAATGGATATTTCTCTCCTGTCTGGCTTCTATGTGTTTATCGCCTGGAGGATGCACTTGCATGCAGAGAAGTTAAATTAATTGTTAAGTCAACTGAGAAAAAATATTCATTACGTTTGCCAAAATCCAATGGTTTAAATTTCAGAGGACCATACCACAGCTGACTGAGGAAGCTCAGTGAGTAAAGCATGGTACATTCTAGGTGGATTTTAGAAGGAATTGATACTGTAGGAATGGGAGGAGAAGAAAGTTAGGAAGGTGGAGGTGAGTAGGGAAGGGGAGAGGAGATGCTGTGTTATTGGTACCTAGTGATGGAGGGGAAAGGGTGCTGAGGATGGAGGGTGGGAGGAGAGCTGTGTTATTGGTACCTAGTAATGGAGGGGAAGGTGATGCTGAGGATGGAGGGGGGGGAAGGAGAGCTGTGTTATTGGTACCTAGTGATGGAGGGGAAAGGGTGCTTGGGAGGAGAGCCAGTGGTACCCAGTGATGGAGGGAAGGTAATGCTGAGGGGAGGGGGAGGAGCCAGGTTATTGGTACCCAGTGATGGATGGAAAGGGGTGCTGGGAGAGAGTACAAGTGGTACCCCAGTGATGGAGGGAAGGTAATGCTGGGGAGGGAGGGGGAGCTTTCGTGTTATTGGTACCTATAGTGATGGAGGGGAAGGTAATGCTGGAGGGGGGAGGAGAGCCAGTTATTGGTACCTAATGATGCAGGAGGGGATGGTGATGCTGGAGGAGGGGGAGGAGAGATGTGTTATTGGTACCTAGTGATGAGGGGAAGGTAATGCTGAAGATGGAGGGTGGGGAGGAGAGCTAAGCTATTGGTACCCAGTGATGGAGGGGAAGGTAATGCTGAGGATGGAGGTGGGGGAGGGAGAGCCAGGTTATTGGTACCTAGTGATGGAGGGGAAGGTGATGCTGAGGGATTTGGAGGGGGGAAGAGGAGAGCTGTGTTATTGGTACCTAGTAATGGAGGAGAAGGTGATGCTGAGGGATGGAGGAAGTGGGGGTGGGGAGGAGAGCTGTGTTATTGGTGCCCCAGTGATGGAAGGCAATACTGAGGATGGAGGGGTGGGGAGGGAGGAGCTGTGTTAGTGGTACCTAGGTGATGGGGAGCTGTGTTATTGGTACCTAGTGATGGAGGGGACGTTAATGCTGAGGATGGAGGGGAGTAGTGGGGGAGGAGAGCTGTGTTATTGGTACCTAGTGATAGAGGGGAAGATGATGCTGAGAATGGAGGGGAGTAGTGGGGGGAGGAGAGCTGTGTTATTGGTACCTAGTGATGGAGGGGAAGATGATGCTGAGGGGAGGTGGGTGGAGGTTACTGCAGTGAAGACAGAGGATGCAGACACACTTGAAGAAGCCGTATATTGATATATTAATGATACACTAGCTGATTGGAATATCAGAGGCTCAGTGTAGTGAGAGATTGGAGGCAGTGTAGAGGGTTAGTGGAGTAATAGGCTGCTGGTTTATATAAAGGTTTTATTAGAGTGAATCAGAGCAGCAGACTGGGATTATAACCCAAACCATGACCAGCCAGTCTCAAGGAATCCAGCAGCTGCTGCAGGCGGAGAAGAGAGCAGCCGAGAGAGTCTCGGAGGCCAGAAAACGTAAGGACACTATTTATACAGCTTATATTATATATTGCAATGTATCATTATATTATCACCATGGACTGGGAGACAGTAAATGGGAATCTGTTCTATGCAGCCACGATCGTTGGTCGTATCATGATATCTCTGTCTGTCTGTCTATCATTGATAAATTGTTATGCCATGAATATAATCCCTCCCGGCCCCCAGGTAAAGCACGCAGACTGAAGCAGGCCAAGGAGGAAGCACAGGTTGAGATCGAGCAATATCGCATCGAGAGAGAGAAGGATTTCCAGACCCAGCAACGCACAGTACGTGGTATCTTGTCTGTTAGCATGAATTAGCAATTCAATTGAGCACCACTCGCTGTTTAGTGAATAAAGCCTCACAGAGTGGCCGTAACTGTCTATAGTGTGTGTGTGTGTGTTTATAAAGTGTCTCTATGTACAGTCTGTGTTAATCTGAAATGCCTGCCTTCAAAGTGCTATATATTTATCAATTTATTTATCTATCTATCTATCTATCTATCTATCTATCTATCTATATATCTATCTATCTATCTGTCTATCATCTATCAATCTATCTATCTGTCTGTTATCTATCTGTTGTCTTTCTATCTGTCTGTCTATCTATCTAGCTATCTATCTATCTGTCTGTCTATATCTATCTATCTGTCTGTCTATCTATCTGTCGGTTATCTATCTATCTTTTTATCTGTCTGTTATCTATCTATCTATCTATCTATCTATCTTTTATCTATCTATCTATCTATCTATCATCTATCTGTTATCTATCTATCCGTCTGCTATCTATCTATCTATCTATCTATCTATCTTTCTATCTGTTATCTATCTATCTATCTGCCTGCTATCTATCTATCTATCTATCTATCTATCTATCTATCTATCTATCTATCTATCTATCTATCTATCTGTCTATCTAGTTATCTATCTATCTGTCTGCTATCTATCTATCTATCTATCTGTCTGTATGTCTATCTAGTTATCTATCTATCTATCTAGTTATCTATCTCTGTTATTTATCTCTGTTATCTATCTATGTGTTTATCTACTGTGTGTGTTTCTGTCTCAGAACCTGATCAAAGGGAGATCGGACAGGTGCCCACATTTAATTTAAAATGTTATAGCTCTAATTATAAACTCACATTGGGTGTAGAGAGTGTGCCTAATTTTATAACCCCCAAAAGATCATTGATGAGCAGTCACAGCAATCAAGGGTACTCATTAAAACCCGAATAACTGTGTACCCAAAGGAGCACAACCATTTGCTGCTGTACGGGACCATTCAGACTGCAAAATCCAGGCAACGTTCATGGAATTCAACAATGTGCAGACCTTCTAAATCAGGCACCAGATGGCTAAATCCGGACCGCATGAATTAAATCCAAACTATCAGCCAGCGGGCAAATAGTAAAAAGAAAAACCTTGGCTGGGCGATTGTTAGTCATTTGGTGACTGACCACATAAAAAATTAATAATAATAAAAACAAAAACATTATTATAGTGGAGGTATCGTATGCCCCCTGTCTCCTAAATGTTTAACACTGGACAGTGGGCTGCCATAGCAGGCTGTGAGTTCTGGGAGTCTTACTTTGGGTATTGTCATTGCAGAATGTTCTGTTAGCAGCTCCCACCGGCATTTTACATATTTTGTATGGCTCTACTTATTTGTCTGAAACTCCTTGCCTACCTCACCCCCTGTGTGCCTCTTCCCATCAATCCTTTTTGTGTATCTCCTGCCACCCATTACTCAGAGGCCTAGCCAAAGGTATCTTGGATTGTTTTATTCTTTGTCTGTGCCCTCTGTGACTGTGGGAGTTTTGTGTGGGGCATGGCTTTGTGTGACGTGGCTGTTTGTGAAGTGGCTGTGTGTATTATGGCTAGACATACTTTCCAAGTGTCCCTATTTATGAGGGACAGTCTCTATTTTGGGTCCTAATCCCTCTGTCCCTCTATTCTACCATAATGTCTCTATTTACTAGGAGCTCCATATTGTTGATCTGTTAGAGTGCAAAAAAGAGGTACACCACAATAATACTCACAATAATAATAATATGTCTTTAAACTACAATAAATGTATTTAGAAATCAGTCTTTTTAAACAATATACATTGTTCTATATTACCCTCTGATGAACTAATCGGCGAAACGCACGTCAGGGCGATTAGGGGTATCTAACCGACATTCTGTTACCTTAGAACAGTAACAGCAGATAGTCTAAGAAACAGGGCGCACAGAGATATTTTCACAGAAGTAGAGCAATTCTTCGAAGTAAGCAACCAGAGAGAAATAATAGCATAGCATTTATCGAACTTATTTCTCAGAGTTACTGAGGATATTTTACTAGGACCAAGTTTCCTTCACAACAAAATCAGTCAGTTCCTACAGGACACTAGAAAGATTAGCATATCTCTGTACGGTTAGGAAGACTGGGGGTTTAGTTACAGTTATCTAAAACTCTTTGTGCTGAACGAGTGCAAATTTATAATGGTATTTACCTGCAATCTACCTCTGCAATCTGGAATTCCTTGAATAATAAGAGCTACAGCAGCCAGCGAGTTAAAGACTACATAAAGTGTGCATAGCACCGTAGGATTTAACCTTTTTGCCGCGTAGTCCTGATATCTACTGATTGCTATAGCATCTTTCTGATATTTGATATATTTATTCTTTATTATTTGGATACGAAATTGAGCATTCTTTTTTGTTACCAGTGTCCTGGGATGGGGGATATGTTTTTCATAAAGATAAAGTGACCTTAAGATTGGGGAATTATAGAAAGGCGAGAGTGAATGTACCTCTAATCCACCTTTCCACAAATTCGGATCAGCGGATTATAATCCTTCAAGATCTCAAACTGAAACTAAGATGGCGGATAAAGGAGTCCAATCCGAGCCAGCGCTTTCCATTAGAAGACCCTTCCTGGGAAGTGATAACAATGTTAGAAACCTATAGGCCATCTCTGTGCTCTTTCATTCCCCCTGAAAGTGGACTCCACTTTTTCTTCAAGATTCACTCCGAGGGTACGTGGGAGAAGAAGCCATCCGAAACAAATAACAGAATTTATTTCAATATAATATAAGTGCTCTTGAAAAAAATCCAAATCGGACTGAAATGTTGACTGTACCGTTACACAAATAAAGAAAATATTGCACAAGACTAAAAGCCCTCTGAGTGCATTTCTCTGGGATGTTGTACTGGGGCATGAAATAGCACAGAGACAAAAACAGGACAGGAATGTGAGTTCCAAGCCCATGTTGGAAATATAATGGGGATGGGGAGCCCACTACAGGAACCTATTTGCACAAGCATTATGGCATCATCCAGTTTGTCTATTTCATTCCAATATTTTGGAAATGCAAGCCGTGTAGAAGACAATGCTGTCATTTGCTATCCACCTGATGGGGAAGTGGTTGATAATAAAAAAAAAGACAACAAGGTAGTTGCAGCATACTTAAAACCTCAAGGAGGAACAAAGAGTAGGAGTTTACTTTCACAAATGCAGCCAATTATGGAATGGGCTATGCTTTGCTTGAAAGATCTGAAAGCGGTTTACCTTCAGGGGAAAGAGAATACCCTTCTGGACTTCCCAGACCGAGGAGAATGAAGTTTGCACAAGGAAGTATTTCTTCAGATAATGAAGAAATGGATAAAGCCACAAATAGACCTGATAGCTTAATTCAGGAATTCACAGCCCCCCACATCCTTTTTGGAGTGGAAAGACCCTCGAGCAGAAGCCTATCTCAGAAGTGGGTCTTCGATCTGGCAAATGTGTTCACACCAATACCTTTGATCCACAAAGTACTGAGGAAGATCGGAAAGGAGAATTGCACCATGATTGCAATCATACCTGCCTGGCCGAGAAGGCAATGATTCCCTCTCCTACTATGCATGAACCATGGGAGCTGCCATCATGCTTCCTCAGTAATGGGATCTGTTAATCCAGGGTCTAGCAGTGCTTCCAAATCTCCAATCCCTTTAGTTAGTGGCATAACACTTAAGAAGAAAAACTTCTTAAATTCAAAATTGTCAGTCTTAAATACGCTTCTTAAGTAAAGAAACAATTCTACCTCAGCCCCCTATCACAGAGTGTAGGAAACTTTCAGATCCTGGTTCTTGGAGAAAGAAATCAACTTTAATGAGCCATCAGTGGCTGAAATCTTCAACTTCCTTCAAGAAGGCTTGGACAAAAGTCTAAGCCTTAGTAGACTGAAGCTCCAAGTTTCTGCTGTCTCGGCTCTGACTAATACTAGGTGGAGAAAAAATCCTCTAATCATGAGATTTTTCAAAACGGTCCTGAAGATATGACCTCTCTCAAAACAACTGGACCCTCCATGGAACCTTCCAATGCTACAAGAGATTTGTGGCGGAACAGACCTCGCCACGTGTTCTTGGAGGGGGCTGCTTGCCCGTCTCCTACCTTCTGACTATGGCCTTGGGATATATGGCATTTGAAAACACTATTTGTGCCCTGTGACAAAACTGGAGATTGTGCACAAGTATGACTAGTTATGATTCCCTTCGTTTGTTGCACTGTTCCCCATGTGTTTCATCTGTTGGTTCGGCTGGATAGACTACCAGACAAACTGTGGAGTTACTGGGTGGCCACCATTTCATGTATCAGAGGCACATGATGAGAACAATGGATGAAGCACATGGTGAGAACAATGGATGGTGGCCATTTTAACTCACAGACACTGTGTTGACTTTGTGGTGCATTTAACAGTAATTATTTTTCATATAGCCTGTATATGTTCTGCGGAATCTGCATTAAACCGTATCTTCCAAACTACTGAACGGATCTGAGTGAATTTTTGATATGTGGTTCACCCAGATCCCCCGGTTCCGAGGATATATTTATGGGGTTATTGCATGTTTTGGGGTCCCTGTGATATATTTTATAACACTGTATTTTCCTGCCTGTGATAATTAAGTTAGTCTATTGTGTTGAGATAATTGTATCACAGGCAGAGGGGTGGATTTCTGATGTAATGAATGGGAGTGTTAGCTGTGTTGTAATGTGTTGATTGGTTGTTCTTCAAAACCCTGTGGGCAGTACTATGTTTGTCGAATGTGAATAAAAGAGGCTGTATGTGCCAGTACAGGCAGTTCTACTTCACCCTCAATTTAGAGTGCCGTCTCTTATTGGGGGAATCTGCTGCAAGGGATTGCTATGCTTGTCATACTCCCTTGCTAAATCACTGCTAAGCTCTTGTAAGAGCTTGTTCCTGTCCTGCTTTCTGAAGGAGTCCACGGTGGTTACGGTGTCGGCTGGAGTGTTTGGAGCCCTCAGGAAGCGCTAGGAGCATCCTTCAACGGAGGTACCCAGTCGGGGGCCCCGTCGATCCGTTACAAGATTCTTTTGGAAGAAATAGGCATTAATATGCTGACACTTAAAACTCCCTTTCTTGTAGCAATAACATCAGCCAGGAGGGTCACAGACCTACAGGCCTTAAGTTCTGCAGAATCATATATGCTATTTCAAAAGGAACCGGTGGTTCTAATACCTAGACCAGAATTTCTCTCGAAAGTGGTTTCCAGGTTCCATATTCAACAGGAAATAGTGCTTCCATGTTTCTTGCCTAATCCATGTAACCAGGAAGTAACTTTTTGGAGTAAAATTTATGTGATAAGATGCCTCCATTAGTCTAGTGACATCAGAAAAAGAGATTATTAATTCTTCCATCAGGCATTAGAAGAGGTGAAGCACCCTCTGTTGCAATTCAAAGAATTATATATATATATATATATACACTCACACACATAAAGTGCTGTTTGTGTGGGTGCTGTGTGTGTGTGGGCACTGTGTGTGTGTGTGTGTGTGTGTGAGGGCGCTGTGTGTGTGTGAGTGCACTCTGTGTGTAAGGGTGCTGTGTGTGTTTAAGCGTGCTGTGTGTGTGAGGGTGCTGTGTGTGTGTTTGTGTTTGTGAGGGTGGTGTATGTGTGTGTGTGTGTGTGTAAGGGTGCTGTGTGTGTGTGAGGGTGCTGTGTGTGTAAGGGTGATGTGTGTTTGTGAGGATGGGGTGCTGTGTGTGAGGGTGTTGTTAGTGTGTGTGAGTTCTGTGTGTGAAGGTGATGTGTGTGTGTGCTGTGTGTGTGAGGGTGCTGTGTGTGTGTGTTAGGGTGCTGTTAGTGTGTGTTTATGTGTAAAGGTGCTGTTAGTGTGTGTGTGCTGTGTGTATGTGTAAGGGTGCTGTGTGTGTCTGTGTGTGTAAGGGTGCTTTGTGTGTAAGGGTGCTGTGTGTGTGAGGGTGCTGTTAGCGTGAGGGTGCTGTTAGTGTGTGTGTGTGAGGGTGCTGTATATGTGTGGGTGCTGTTTGTGTGTATTTGTTTGGAGGGACTGTGGGGGTGGGTGGGGGCCGTTTAGGAAATAGCCCACCTCCCTGCTTACCTTTTGTAGGGAGGGGGGACCATGCTGCTGTCAACCCTGGTTGTTCAGTGGTGAGTGAACTCTAGCCTGCGGGGCTAGAGTTCACTCTCACGAGATCTGAGTGTTGCCGTGGCAGATCTTTGATCTCCCTCACCGGCACATGGACGCACATAGCGCGGTCCGCGGGGATCAGGGTGTGCCCAGGCACACCCAGCACACCCCGTGCGCATGCCTATCCCTTCTTTGTAGCTTGGGTTGTACCCATCCGTGATGCTGCCATGTTTAGCCAGGAAAGAGGAAAATGTATTTCATACTTACCATCATTTTCTTTTCCTGGCTATTCTACAGGGCAGCATCACACTCCCTCCCTTCTGAATTCTTCAACTGTAACTTTTTAAAAGACTGGGGAATTCAGGGGGAGGGGGCTTTTATTAACGATTCTCAATTATTTTATTATAATTTAATCATTCCCACGCTGACAGCTGTTGAGAAGCTACTCTCTCTCTGATGCTGCTGTAACCGCGGCTGGTTCCCTTATTTACCACTATAATGTCTTAAAGCATAGAACTTAGTAGGGCTAACCATACAGATATCTTTTATAATTCTTGAAAAAGCCCTCGGAAGAAGGGCGAAACGCGTTGATAGGGTGCCACTACTACTCATCTGCTGCAGACCACCTGAGCTTTCGATAGAAGCTGGACTAATCGCTAGTGTTTCCCCACTGATACCAACACGGCCAGCGTTCCTGTGTGCACCAGGCAGCTGCCGTCTCTCGTGAGGAACCGGATCACCAGCTTTGACTCTACAGTACGAGCAGATTTGAAAGAATGTTTTTTTCCTGCAAGATCGACAATGATGAGTATCATATTTTATACAGTGTAAGAGTTTTTAGTTTGGGGGGGGTTACCCTTTCTTTTGTATCCTGGGCAATAAATTTTGATACAGAGTTACACTATGTATCTTTCTTTGTCTCTCTTTTCTACATATCTCTGAGTCCCTACATATTGCAACAATATCTGGACTTTTTTTTTTTTTTTGCAGGACTTTGTAGCCGATTTATATAATCTGGACATTTTTTTCATGACTTTTTCATTACTACACACATCATTTGCATATAAATGCACCCTTGTTATTTTTAAGGGGACTATCTATTAAGCGCTGAAACTCATATTAACATTTGGACATTGAAATTGGGAAATTTCTTATTGTTTTAGCCGCTAATATTATCATAGTACTTTAAGTACCATCTCTATTGTTTTAATTAGACCATATATTGACTATTACTTAGGTCGTTTATCTAATCTATATATGCGCTCTCTTTTTTGATCTTATATATATAATTATATACATATTAATATCAAATTACACGTAGACTGATACTGATTAAATATATATATAATTGGGAGCTAGCGAGCTACCCAAGCAGACGCACGAGCACTGAGCTCCGGGAGAAATTCACCTACAAAGAACGAAATCGGCAGTTCCATAAAACCCAATTGCTACCAACGCAGGTCGGAACATAATGGGACGCAAATCCAAGCAGCTCCACCACGAGGCAATGCTGTCCTCTCAAAATATCGGCGATTTACTCAGAGCAACGCCGCGGCCGCGGCCTGCCAAGATGGCGCCCGCGCGGGAAGCCCCTGATCACTCCTCAGATGACAGTATGGAGGAGGCCGCTGAAGCAAGGAGCACTAGATGGGAGAGTACCCCACCTCCTGAACAATTGCCGGCGAGCAAAGCAGACATCATCCATCTGCTCAAGGAGCTTAAAGCTCAATCAGCAGCAGACGTGGCCCTAATCAGGGAAGATCTGGGTGCCATGTCAGCCCGCATAAAGGCTGTGGAGGTGAATGAAGCTGCCACAACAGCCAAAATTGAAACCCTGCAAAGGGAAATGGCCCAAATGAAGAAAACCAGCACTATATTAGAAAATAAAGTGGCTGCACTGGAAGACGCTAAGCGCCAGCGGAACCTCAGGATAAGGGGGATACCAAAGGCTGTGCAAGACTCTGAGGTCGCACACTACCTTCGCCGATTACTAGCCTCTCTGCTATCACAAGCTAAAGCAAAATCCATCTTGCTGGAGTTTCACTTTCGCATACCCAAGCCACCAAGAGCCCCAGCTGACGTCCCACGGGACCTACTTATCCGCTTTCAATCTCTCCGTGGCAAACTACTAGTACAAGAAGCAGCCCGAGAAACTAACACATATGAGTTTGAAGGTTCTGAGCTATCTTTCTATAATGACCTCTCTAGGGCAACAGTCACATGGCGACACTCCATGAAAGAAGTCACACAACTACTGAGATCCAAGGGGATACAATACAGATGGGGACCAGGGTGCAGACTCTCTGTCAACAATGACGGCAAAAGAGTTCACATCACCCAAGCAAGTGACTCTGTAGCATTTCTACAAACCTTGGTAATATCCCTGGAGGCCACTACAAGCACTACCTCAGCAGCAAAGACATCGGCGAACATGTCCAGGATATGGGACGTCAAGAGAATCCAACCCTTTATCCCAAAAGCGAGTGGTGCTGCGGCCACCCTTCAGCCGAAAACCTGAATATCGCAAGCACATTATAACTTGGACTGCGTGTCACAGATGTAGGCCCCTTAGGCTATCATCCTCAGACATTACTCTATGTCCGCTCCCACTTTAACAATATTTCTCCAGCGGGCCCGCCGCCCAATAGACCACCCGAGAACCGCATTGCCATGTACCTCCCAGTTTGCTCATAACCCCCAAAAGGAAGCTATCTCCAACAAGCAAATGTTAATTTTTCTTACTAATTTCATGCAACCACAACTAGAAATCTAATGTATAACTATATATCACTGTACTTATGCTTTGCCTAGACTGTTATGTTTACCTGCTACCTGTGACACTGTATGCAAAGGTTGCATTTAAAATGTAGCAAAACTATGAGAGATGATAACTATACACATGCTATGCTACAATAAAAAATTATAAATAAAAAAAATAAAAATAAAAATATATATAATTATTGTTATACATATATATTTATATATAATATAAAAAAATAAATATGTAAATACGTTAAAAAATTAAATTAAAAACATAATTAAAAAAAATAATTAAAAAATATATAGATGTGTGTTATTTTGTTCTAACTGTATTGTGATATTAATATATATATATTTATATCAAAATACATGTAGAACAAAATAATATATATATCTAAATACATAAATATATACATATATATCACTATATATATCTATATATAAATAAAAATATTTAAAAAAAATTATATATATATATATACATATACTAATTCTACATATATATTTATGTAATATTTTTACATAATTAGGTATCTTAGTTAATTACAATTAGCGGGACCTGCCTGATAACCCATGCCGAAAGTAAAGGGAATTTAATTTGCTAGCACCATATTTAACCCTATAACTTTCCAAGACACCATAAAACCTGTACATGGGGGGTACTGTTCTACTCGGGAGACTTCGCTGAACACAAATATTAGTGTTTCCAAACAGTAAAATGTATTACAACGATGATATCGCCAGTAAAAGTGACATTTTTTGAATTTTTCACGCACAAACAGCACTTACACGGACGATATTATTGCTGCGATACTTTTTACTGTTTTGAAACACAAATATTTGTGTTCAGCGAAGTCTCCCGAGTACAACAGTACCCCTCATGTACAGGTTTTATGGTGTTTTCAAAAGTTACAGCATCAAATATAAGGCTTGTGTTTCATTTTTTCACATTAAAATTCGCCAGATTGGGTACGTTGCCTTTGAGACCCTATGGTAGCCCAAGAATGAAAATTACCCCTATGATGGCATACCATTTGCAATAGTAGACAACCCAAGGTATTGCAAACGGGGTATGTCCAGTCTTTTTTAGTAGCCACTTAGTCACAAACACTGGCCAAAATTGGCTTTTTTTGCATTTTTCACACACAAACAAATACTAACGCTAACTTTGGCCAGTGTTTGTGACCAAATGGCTACTAAAAAAGACTGGACATACCCCATTTGCAATACCTTGGGTTGTCTACTATTGCAAATGGTATGCCATTATGGGTGTAAATTTAATTCCTGGGCTACTATACAGTCTCAAATGAAACATAACCTATCTGGCGAATTTCAATTTGAAATGTAACGTGCTATATTTGACCCTGTAACTTCCCAAAACTCCATAAAACCTGTACATAGGGGGTACTGTTTTACACGTGAGACTTTGCTGAATACAAATATGTGTATTTTATTGCAGTAAAAGCAAACCGTATTATGACATTGACAGTTAAAATGTCACGTAGAACTAAAAAAATAAAAAAATTCTTATTTTCTCCCCTTTTTTTCATATTAAATTATGTTTCATAGCTAAATATTTGATATTAATTGAAAGCCCTGTTTCCCCTGAATAAAATGATATATAATAAGGGTGGGTGCATTTACTATGAAAGAGGTGAATTACGGTTGGACAGACATGTAGCGCAAATGCCAGGTTTTGTTTACATTTTGTTTTGTTCACAACGTGTACATTTGGCTCAGTCCTTAAGGGGTTAAAGAAACATCTATGAAAAAACAATATGCTCCATTTCTAACACCTTGTTAGTTTGCAATATCTCTTAAAGACAAAGTGCACAGTTTTAAGAAATACAACATTTCATTCTAAAACTTGTAATATTTAAATTTTCCCATAACACTAATTACATTAACCCCTTCAGGACGGGTGACGGACGAGGTCCGTCACGCAGGGGAGACCCTTAACGACGGGTGACGGACCTCGTCCGTCACGCGGTAAAATTAACCCCGGATCGCCGCTATCGCGGCGATCGCGGGGTTAATGGTGCTCCCGGTATGCCTCTGCATTGGAGGCATACCGGGAGCACCCGGTCAAGCTGCCCAGCACATGTGCTCGCTCTGACCGCAAGTCGGAGCGAGCACATGTGCTCTGTATACTTACCTACCGGCTCCCTGCACTTCCGGGTTCTGTGTGAAGTGCAGGGAGCCGGATCAGTGCTGATCCTGCCCCCTGCTGTTAAAAAAAATAAAGTTTATTTAAAGTGTCCCCCCCCTTACCCATTTTAATAAAAAATTAACCCCTTCCCTGCCAATTGATCACTGACTACAGTGATCAATTGGCAGGGATTACATTTTACTATGATCTGATTTTTTTTTTAACCCCTGAGGGTTAATTCTTTTTTTTTAACCCTCAGGGGTTAAATTAATTAAATTAATTAATTAAATTATTTTTAAATTATATATTTAGATAGCTGGGGTAGGTGGAAGTTAGTGGGGAATTGGGGGATTTGGCGTTAGGCTAACTAGGGGTTAACGTTAAAAAAGTTTTAAAAGAAACTTTAAAAAGTTAAAAATTAAGCTTAAAAAAATGTTTTAATAACATTTAAGTAAAAAAAACAAAAAAAACACACTTTACCTAGTCCAAATAAAAATTAACCCCTTCCCTGCCAGTCGATCACTGCCTACAGCGATCAAATAGAGATCACAGTATTATACTGTGATCTAATTTTTTTTAACCCCTGAGGATTAACTTTTATTTATTTTTTTAACCCTCAGGGGTTCAATTTATTTAATTAATTAATTTAAATATTTTATAACTATATATTTTGCTAGCTGGGGTGGGTGGGAGTTATGGGAAAATGGGGAATTTACTGTTAGTGCTGCGTACTGCTAGTTAGGGGTTAACAGTAAAAAAAATAGCTTAGAAAAATGTTAAATCTGTAAAAAAGTTTTAAGAAAGTTTAGGAAAGTTTAAAAAAAATTTATAAGCAAAACAAAAGTTTAAAAACTAGTTTTTAAAAGTAAAAAAGTTATAAAAAGTAAAAAAATACATTTTAAAAACGCTCATTACCACTACACCTGGAACAAACTAGAGAAAAAAGTATCCCACGCCAAGGTTCAAAATATGCCTTTTGAATTACCCCAGGGTGTAATCTTTAATAAATAGTATGTGTTTGTGGGGAAGTTTCAATAACCAACCGTCTAAACTATTCCAAATTGGAACATGGACACAGCGTAAAACTTCAAAGTTAGAAAAAAACTGAATGGCTGCGTCTCAAATGCGCCCCTTCAACATCCACATATACCTGGCAAAGGTACATACGGGGGTATTGCTGTACTCAGCCGACATAGCTGAGCAACATATGAAGTATTATACAGTCATAGTACACATAAGGTTTGCAAAATATGCTGCGCAAACTCACTTTGTATGTCAAAAAAGCAGAAAAAATGCTTATTACCACTACACTTGGTACAAGCTAGCGGAAAAATGATCCCACACTAAGGTTCAAAATATGCCTTTTGAAATACCCTGGGATGTCTTCTTTAAGAAATGGTATGGCTTTATGGGGAATTTGGATTATATAGCCTGGTAAAATACTCTAAAATGGGACATAGGCACAGCATAAAAATTCAAAGTTTGAAAAAAACTGGAATGGCTGTGTCCCAAATGTGCCCCTCCGATGTCCACACATACCTGGCAAAGGTACATACGGGGGTATTGCTGTACTCAGCCGACATAGCTGAGCAACATATGAAGTATTATACAGTCGTAGCACACATAAGGTTTGCAAAATATACTGTGCAAACTCACTTTGTATGTCAAAAAGGCAGAAAAAATGCTTATTACCACTACACTTGGTACAAGCTAGCAGAAAAATGATCCCACGCTAAGGTTCAAAATATGCCTTTTGAAATACCCTGGGATGTCTTCTTTAAGAAATGGTATGGCTTTATGGGGAATTTGGATTATATAGCCTGGTAAAATACTCTAAAATGGGACATAGGCACAGCATAAAAATTCAAAGTTTGAAAAAAACTGGAATGGCTGTGTCCCAAATGTGCCCCTCCGATGTCCACACATACCTGGCAAAGGTACATACGGGGGTATTGCTGTACTCAGCCGACATAGCTGAGCAACATATGAAGTATTATACAGTCGTAGCACACATAAGGTTTGCAAAATATACTGTGCAAACTCACTTTGTATGTCAAAAAGGCAGAAAAAACGCTTATTACCACTACATCTGGTACAAGCTAGCGGAAAAATGATCCCACGCTAAGGTTCAAACTATACCTTTTGAAACACCCTGGGGTGTCTACTTTAAGAAATGGTAGGCCTTTGTGGGGTAGATTGAATTTAAAACCTGCGAAGATGCTTGGAAATTGCACATAGGCCCAGCGTCAAAATTCAAAGTTTGGTAAAAACGGATATGGCTTGGTCTCCTATATGGCACTGTAGCTTCACAAAATAGTGACAAAGACATTCATTGGGGGTGTATTTTTACTCAAAAGACTTAGCTGAGCATAATTTGGGAGGTTTGAACTTAGTGGCACATATGAAATATACAAAACGCCCAGCAAAAATGCAATCCGTATGTAAAAAATGCACAAAATAATTTTTTTACCACATACTTTGGCATATATTGGTGAAAAAATGGGGGTATGTCAAGGCACAATATGCACCTTATGAGATACCCTGGAGTGTCTACTTTTACAAATGGTAGGCCTTTGTGGGGGTTTTTTGAACAGTCAAACTGTTATAATACCCCAAATGGAAGCTAAGGCTCATTAAATCCATCTCTCAAAATTCTACTGTGAATACTGTAAAGGACAGGTCTCCTATATGGCACTGTAGCTTCACGAAATAGTGCCAAAGACATTCATATGGGGTGTCATTTTACTCAGAAGACTTAGCTGAGCATAATTTGGGGGGTTTGAACTTAGTGGCACATATGAAATATACAAAACGCCCAGCAAAAATGCAATCCGTATGTAAAAAATGCACAAAATTATTTTTTACCACATACTTTGGCATATATTGGTGAAAAAATGGGGGCATGTTAAGGCACAATATGCACCTTATAAGATACCCTGGAGTGTCTACTTTTACAAATGGTAGGCCTTTGTGGGGGTTTTTGAACAGTCAAACTGTTATAATACCCCAAATGGAAGCTAAGGCTCATTAAATTCATCTCTCAACATTCTACTGTGAATACTGAAAAGGACAGGTATCCTGTATGGCACTGTAACTTCACGAAATAGTGCAAAAGACATACAATGGGGGTGTCATTTTACTCAGCAGATGTAACTGAACACAAAATAAAACTTTGTACAGGAATAGCACACACCAACTTTACAAAATATACACGAGAATTTCTCTGTTATAAGTTTGTGTGCCAAAAACCAAAAAGAACACAATTTTACTCCAATATTTAGCAGAGGTTGGCGGTAATATGGCTACGTAGAAAGTGTCAAAACAACCTTAGGTAAATAGCCCGTGATGTCTACTTTATATAAATATATACTTTTGTGTGGCAATTTTGTTTTCTTTTATGGCTATTAAGCTTACAAGACAAACATACCAAATTCTAAAATCGCTCCACATTAAAATTTATTTTACTCCTTGTGCTTTGTGACCTGTAACTACCAAAAAAACTTAAAATCCCAGACACATTATATATTCTGTAAATCAGAACAAATAAATAAATTTATCTTTAATTACTTTCCTTAACCTGCACTAATTATGCACACATTATTATTGCAAAAACTGTAAAAAAAAACAATATTTTTCATTTTTTTTGCATTTTTCTGTATTTTTTTTATAATAAGTAAGCATTTATATATATATATGTTATATCAAATTAAAGCCCTTTCTGTCCTTTAAAAAACAGTATATAATATGTGTCGGTGCAATAAATGAGAGAGATGCAAATTGCAGTTGAACGCAAACAGCAAGAAAATGCAAAAATTGCTTGTGTCATTAAGCGTAAGTCAAGCTTCTGAAGCTGTGTCCTTAAGGGGTTAATTGTGAAATACATTTTCCTCATCAGTAAATAGCCCTGCCTATGTTATAACATGTCTGTGAATGCTACTCTGGTGTGCTACATGCCATGCTATGACAACTATATGCAGCCCCTCAGGGCCCCTGGCGCTCCCTCTGTCACTCTCTCTGCCCCTCCCTCCCCCCCATTCCTGGCTCTCACACGAGACTGTTCACTAAACGCTAAATTGTTGGGAATTTCTAGAGAATTGCAAATTTAAGGCCAAAACAAAGGAGCTGAAATCATAATATTTGGAGACTTTTTCAGATTTTATTATTTTAGCTTTTGAAATTCCCAGGCGAATCACTGATAATTCAAGGTTTAGTTAATAATCCTGAATGTATCAACCTGGACATGTGGGCTCAGAATTGCTCTAATTTACTAAACTCCGCTTAGTGCAAAACTGAGCCTAAACTAGCCGATCTGGAAATACTCAACTGGTTATAGCTCTGCTATTTTAGCCTCTATTTTGAAATTTCGATTTCAATTCACTACAACCCAGAGTTTAGTAAATAAGCCTGTTTTACCATTAATACAAGTTAATAAGGTTACATAGCTGAAAAGAGACTTGCGTCCATCAAGTTCAGCTTTCCTCACATAGGTTTTGGCTGTTGATCCAAAAGAAGGCAAAAAACCTAGTCTGAAGCGCTTCCAATTTTGCCGCATACTAGGAAAAAAATTCCTTCTTGACCCCAAAATAGCAGTCAGATGTCTCCCTGGATCAAGCAGCTATTACCCCACTAATTAGAAATGATATCCCTGTATGTTATGTTTTTGCAAGTATTTATCCAATTGCTGTTTAAAAATCTGTATGGACTCTGATAAAACAACCTCTTCAGCCAGAGACTTCCACATCCTTATAGTTCTTACTGTAAAAAACAACAACTTTTCTTTGCCTTGGATGAAATCTAATTTCTTCCAGCCTAAGCACATGGCCTCGTGACCTATGTATAGCCCTGTTTATGAATAGATTTCCAGATAATGTTTTGTACTGGCTCCGAATATATTTGTATAAAGTTATCATATCCCCTCTGAGGCACCATTTTTCCGAACTAAAGAGAATTCGGACCTTTCTTCGTAACTAAAGTGCTCCATTCCTTTTATCAATTTTGTAGCTTGTCTCTGCACTTTTTCTAATGCCATGATATCCTTATTTAGAACAGGTGCCCAAAATTTGCACAGCATATTCAAGATGTGGTCTAACCAGCGATTTATAAAGAGGCAAATTTATATTTTCGTCCCGAGAATTTATGCCCCTATTTATACATGACAAAACCTTACTGGCCTTAGCAACTGCAGATTGACATTGCATATTGCTGCCTAATTTGTTGTCTATAACATGTATGTACGTAGCGGGGAATTACGATGCCACATAAACATAAATAACCCCAATCAACCCCCCCAATAACGACAGACAACTTAGTATGGATGAACAGGCCACACCATTTATTATAACAAATAAATTACTGCATAACACATCCATAACTATTTATTAAACCAAATTGTTAGAAATAAATAATCATAAATTAACATATATACATATAATAACTCGAACATAGTGCTATACAGTGACCCAACCATCCTTGCCAATAAACATACAGTGGTTCCTAATCACCACTTCCTCTCACCTCCCCCCTCGTCATAAAAATCATATATTTCCAATGCCCGCCATCAGCCGACCTTATCCACGCTTGATGGGCATGACACCTCAGGCAACCTAATGTTAACCGTTTGAAGCAGGGGAGGTTGAGACCTGCAAAACATAAAAACTTAGTCCATCCTTAAACATAACCCCTCAAAGTTAATTGGCAAGGACATACCCCCGGCTTGCTGTGACTAACTAAAACTACAAAGGGGTGGGCGGTGGGAAGCTGTTTGCTGGCCCTATCCCCACACTCCTACATGTGCCCTTGTCCGCTTAGCTGCGCTATCTCCCCATGGCCTATTCCCAAATCCGTCTCGTGTGTGGTTACCCCTAGTTCACTACCATTTAGGGTGTAAGTGGCTTGTGCATTCTTGACCCTGAAGTGCATAACTTTGCATTTCTCTACATTAAATTTAATCTGCCATTTTAGTGCCCAGTCCCCCAATCTATCTAAATCCCTCTGCAACAAAGCAATATCCTGCTCACATTTTATTACTTTACAAAGTTTTGTGTCATCTGCAAACACTTAGACATGGCTTTCAATGCTTATTGCAAGATCATTTACAAATATGTTAAATAGAAGCGGTCCCAAAACAGAACCCACATGGACACCACTTACCACTTTTGTCCAGCTTGAAAATTTACCATTAATGACAACTCGTTGTACTCTATCCTTAAAGGGACACTCCAGACACCCAGACCACTTCTGCCCATTGGAGTGGTCTGGGTGCCAACTCCCATCACCCTTAACCCTGCAAGTGTAATTATTGCAGTTTTTATAAACTACAATAATTACCTTGCTGGGCTAACTCCTCCTCTAGTGGACCTCTGGGCTCTTAAAACCCAAAAAGTGTTTTAAACGATGCTGGACGACCTCACGCTATGCTTATATAATAATGCTTTCCTATGGGGAGGATTAATGCGCGCACGCGCATCCTTTGCCACGCATGCGCAGTAGGTCTCCCCTGTCGGCTGATGTCTGCGGGAGAGGAGTGTGGGCGAAGCTTGACCCAGCGCCGAGGGACATTGGCACTGGACTCAGGTAAGTCACTGCAGGGGTTTTAACCCCTTCAGCTACATGGGATGGGGGGTGGGAGGGAGATGGGCACTGCAGGTATATGTTTTCCTGGCACTGGAGAGTCCCTTTAAGCCAATGTTCTTCCCAAGAACAAGAATATTCATCTAGACCAATTTCTTTTAGCTTGAAGACTAACCTATTGTGAGGAACTGTATCAAATGCCTTGTCAAATTCCAAGTTGATCACATCCACTGCAACACCCTGATCTATACTTCTACTTACTTCTTCGTATAATGCAGTTTGGCATAACCTATGTTTCATAAAACCATGCTGATTATTGCTCATAACAAAGTTCTTCCCAATGAATTTCTGAATATTATCCCTTAATAGCCCTTCAAATATATTCCCAGTCACAGAAGTTAAGCTCACAGGTCTATAATTTCCAGGCAAAGATTTTGAACCCTTTTGAAATATAGGAACAACATCTGCCTTCCTCCAATCTTCCGGTACAATACCTGAAACAAAAGAATCTTGAAAGATTAAATACAGAGGTTCACTTATTTCCCCACTTAGCTCCTTAAGTACTTGTGGGTGAATACTGTCAGGCCCCAGAGCTTTATTTACATTAATTTTCTTTAACTGCTTAGCACCTTGTCTCGAGTCATCCAATCACAAGTAATCTGCAATTTATTTGCAGCAATCATTTGCATATCTCTTGCCATGGCATCCTCATTGATCTATACTGAAGAAAAATAGTTATTTACAATTTCTGCCTTTTCCTGGTATTCATTAACGAACAGACCCACCTCGGTTTCCAGTGTACCTACACTTAAAAAAATTGTTGGGGTTGGTTTTGAATTCTCTGGCTATCAATTTCTCATTTCCTAGTTTAACCACTCACCATGGCTCTCAAAATTAGTATAAAGTGCTTTGTGCAAAAAAACCTAATGCACTATAAATACAAGTGCAATAGTAAATTAAAATAGTAAAGTTACATTTCATGCAGCAACCAACAGTGCTTGGCAGCTACAATCAACTTTTCTCCTCAAGCTGCCTGATGCCGAGGCCACTATTTTATGTCTCTCCCAGCTCTTTTGATTGACAGGGCTTTAATGCAAAACTTTGAGCTGCAATTTAAATCTCATATTCTATTGGTTTGACACATTTGTTAAATGAAAGCCTACGGGGAAAGTGTCCTGGCACCATAAGCAAGTTGAAGTGATTATGGTGCCTAGAGTGCCTGTGTAAAGATGTCTCATATTGTTGTGATCTTTTTCAGGCCCTGGGAACTCAAGGAGACCTGTCCTCAGAAGTCGAGGCCAGAACACGACGAACTCTGCAGATGGTACAAAGCTGTCATGGTAAAAACAAGGAGGTCGTTTTAAGAAGATTGCTGAGCCTGGTCTGCAATGTGAAGCCAGAACTCCACCCCAACTATCGCTTCAACAGCAACTGAGCAATGTTTCACTTTCACTCACCCGAGACCCCCCCCATCAACATGTTTTGAAAAGTGAAAGCATCTGTTTCACTCTCTGACACATGGACTGTCTACCGTCTAATGATAAAACTATCCATGACAATGTAGTCAATTGGGGCCAGTATAACCGTTAGGGCAGGGGTTCTCAATGTTAGTCCTCAGGACCCCCTACCAGTCCAGGGTTTAGGGATTACCTGGGTGTGTCTAAGGTGTTTAGAAAAAGAAAAAAAAAACACCTTAGAGTGTAAGGTGTTTTTTTCCCTTTTTCTAAACACCTGAGACACACCCAGGTAATCCCCAAATCCTGGACTGGTAGGGGGTCCTGAGGACTGGGTTGAGAACCCCTGCATTAGGTGATCTAGGCTATAATCTTGGCCACCTAAATTTAAATATTTAGAGAGTGAAATTTCTCCCCTTTTGCTTGAGTCTTATACATTAGCAGACAGACATTGATGATGGATATTTAAGTATTAATTTGAACCTACTGATCAGTGATGAATAATCTTTGACACTCCAGCTATTGATGAGAAAGGCTCCCATGATGTTTGGCTGTGGTTCATGTTGAATAATGTAGTTCACAGCTGAAGTGCCAAATTTTACCCATCATTGGCCTTCAAAGACCTGAGTATCCCTTAACTTCCAGGATCTGATATGCAAAATGGACCCAGAGAGTGATAGAGATTCCTAAATTTAGTCCTCATTGTCACTGCTATATTGTATTGATTAATACTGTCTGGTGTTGTTATTGTATCTATTGTGGCAAATAAAATATTAAACAGAAATAAAGACAGAAGACAACAAAAGAGTAAAGAATGGTAATTATTAATCTTCTGAATTCTAAAATGGGGAAGGGGGGGAGGCTATCAATAGAGGTGATAGCAGGGAGAGGTAAAGTAAATACTACTTCTGTGCCTTTGAGGGCACCCCTTAACCCAAAATGCCTGTTACTCCTAAAAGGATGTATAAGAAATGCCTCCCACCCCTAGAATAGATATCATTAAAGAAAGCCGGAGATTGTAATGATAGCCGTATTTTCCCTCCAATTTATGGGGAGAGGTATTAGTGATACAGTGGCTATGAAGTGTGCTTGTCAGAACCCCTGACGCACATTTCGCTAATCTGGCTCATCAGAGGTCAATGATAAGCCAGATGGGCGAAACGTGTGTCAGGGGTTCTGATAAGCACACTTCATAGCCACTGTGTCACGAGTGAGCTCGCGTTCAGCTTATAATGGCGTTTACAGAAATTTACTTATATTTCTCCCCATATATTGGAGGAAAAACCGTCTTTCATTACAATCCCCAGCTTTCTTTCATGATATTTATCGATTGGTTTATATTTGCCACTCCACCAGCAAAACAGTTATAATGTCTCGCTCTCTCCTGGCAGTGTATTAAAATATAGCTGCCATGTGGAGGTAGGGCCATTGAGAGTCCTGATGGATGATCTCTTTGAACAAACCTTTGTTTGGCCTTGAAGTGGATCTGTCTGAGTTGGCTAGTTTGTTATCACGTCCCAAACATTCTTGTCACGGACAGTCCCCGTTTTGTTGGCTGTGTTCCAAACTGCTGTGCACAGAAAAGGACGGCACGCTAGCACAAACATCGATCTGGAAACCTCTTGATTTTTTTTCTGCTCTTTGCCCACTAATTGGAAGCCCCTAGTCCTTTATTCTCAGTACAAATTGCACATAATACTCTGCTTCTGTCATCCAGATATTTAGTCACTCTTGACTTCACTTGTGGAATTCTGAGATGGGATATTGCTACTATCTCCCATGATAGTCCACGTCGTCTGTTTCATCACTCTCTCATGTTTTCATAATCCTTTGTTGCCCAACGCATTTTGGGACTTTTTAGCCATAATCGCCTATCCCAACAGTACTCTGGTGACAAAACCTTAGATGGCAGATCTTCTAAAGCCAAGTACCTGTTGAGATGACTTTCATCATGCCACACAGCCTCCACTTCTTTCTCCCTGTCCTCCAATATTCCCCTGAGACAGGACGATGTAAGGTTCATGAGACGGGGAATGGTCCCACCAAACACTGATGCGTGATAGTAGTATTGGACCTTTTCAAGAGGTATGAACGCAGTGGAGCGAGGGTCTTGTTCGTATGGATAGTCTTCTTTCCTTTGCAAGTAGTATCCTGAATGAAGTTGAGCTACCAGGTCTCCCAGGGCCTCTGAGCCATAACGCGAGACAAAGACCTGTGGAGATGCAAACAATGCATTGGTCAAATAAGACAAACTAAAGGGGGTTAGACAGATGAGATACACAAAGCAATATATGAGAGACGCAAGGAGGCAGGGTAGAAGATACAATTGGTTTATTGATAAAAAGATGAATACAGAAATGGTAGACATAGATTTATATATAGATAACTTTGTGTAAGTAGAAATGTAAAAAGAAAAATTAAAATAATCTGGTAATAAAAAGGGTTAAGGATATGGTATGTCATTAAGATAAGTATATATCTATATGAAGTTACAAGTTACCTTACAATAAAATAAAGTATAAGTGAGAGTCAAAATCAGTAAACTATGAAGTTGGGATCAGATGAATCCACCTCCTTTTTGTTATTGCCTGTTTATTATTATAATGTCTTTCAATAGCACTTTCTGTTTCCTACACTTACCACGTACCAGACTCTTTCTTTCTCACCTGATCGACATCCATGCAGAACAGATAGTCCACTTGGTCTCTAGCGAGGGGGAACACCAAGTCCTGTAAATCCTTCATGCGCATCATAGAGATGTCCTGCCAGCGGGGTCGCGCAGGGCACTTTAGGATGACCAAAGTCATTCCGGGTCTCAGGGAGACAGCTGGCACAGAAGATGGGCTGTCAGTTACCACGTACAAGACACCTTCCAGTCCTGGCATGAAGTATCGGTTGGCAGATATCAGGAAGGGAATGAGGTACTTTGACAAATACCTGCAGAGGGGGACGGGGTGGGAGGGGCAGAGAAAGTTAAAGATTGCTATCCAAACTATTCACAGAAAGGAAACAAGAGGAATAAAGGGGGAAAAGACGAAAAGGGGTACATGACTTAGATATGATTAGAAAAAATATAAAACAATATATCATAAAAATAATAAAGAGTATAATGTAATAAATAACGGTGTTCATCCTTCCATCCATCCATCCATTCCAATATACGTATACTGGATGTGCTGAGTTAGATAATCCTGGCCATTGTGGATATGAGCTGTTCAGGAGATTTTGGCCCATAACGTACATATTGCTTTTTCATTCTTTAACTTGGGAAATTCACTCATATCTTATTTTTTAGTTTATATTTTTGCTGTGCATAAGAGCACAAGCTTGTGATGCCACGACAGCGACAGCAAAAATCAATAACTAAAATGGTATAAAATTGTCATTGCGTGCAAAATACCCGCACACATTTAATGAATGGATAATGTGTACAGCTAGCGAGTCAGTACAGAGACAAGAGGATAGAGCAAAAGATCTGTGGAGGTATTGGTTGACTGGGCAAGAAGGAACACAAGATGATAAAACCACCAGGTAGCATAGTCACTGGATCCCAGAAGTTGGACATATCAGGTATGCTAGTACGTGTAGGAGCATGGACTTAGAAAGATGAAAGGAGAGCAGCAAGCAATAGTTAGATAGCAGCCTTGCTATTAAGCTGAAAGCAATGGCTATAGCTCGACATATTTAGTATCGTCTCAAATGGAACTCACTCAACCTATCAGGCAAAGTCCAGTTAGATATATTGGGGTGCTTGAGACTCCCAGTAATCTGGCCCAAGCGGCATCTCTCCAGTACCAGGTGTCAACAGGAACCTGTGCCCAGTGTCTGCTGGTCACCCTCAACACTATCAGGAAGAGACCCCAGGGCTCCAGGTATCGGTGTTCCACCCTGGTGTGGGGACTGCACTCAGCTGCATAAATTGTTCTCCACCACGTTTGGTGTCTCTGGGCCAAGGGTTTGTCTGTAAGCTGTGTCACAGGTGCAGACAGGGCAGTAGGCAGGGTAGGCTGTCTCCTCCGTTCACGCAATATTCTCCAGAACTGATGGTCAAATGCTTTCTGGAATTCCATCTCCCATTTTCGGGCTGATGCTTGTGCCTCCAGCTGAACAGCAGCTCAGACGTCGGTCATTTTGTGGGCACCACGTCTGAGCCTCCTTCATGATGTCCATTCAGGAGTGAAGGTGAGATAGAGTCCTACGTAGTGGGAACTGGGATAACCCCAAAGGTGTTGAGGGAGTACAGGGCTTTGAATATCACAGGAGTGCAAAGTCAGGCCTGGGTGGGCAGCTTGGCCGCTGTGTCTAACCAGTATGGTGGTTTTAAAGGAGACATTAAGTATATTAAACATTAATCCTTGCCATAATATCCATAATGCAGTATGTATACTGGAAAATAATCGAGTAATTTCCCATCCACGTGGTACATGAGGGCTCATATAAGATGCACCATTAGACATTGCTACAACGAAAAGACTCAGGGCAGGCAAAGCATCATGGGAGAAGTAGGCCTGCAGTAGTGGTGGTACCATTTGACTAACCCTGGTTCAGAGTCTCAGAGGGATGCAGGAGGGATCCACCCAGTTATGATGCCCTATTTCTTCACACAATAAATTATTATTATTATAAAATTAACAATAGATATTATATGACTATATCTTTTAACAGGACGGGTCTTTAAAACATCCGCCAAATGCGTGTGCTGTTCAGAGTTTACAACATACACAGAGTTATTCACAAACACTGAGAATTCAAAGTGAATTTCAAATTTAAGGCTAGAGTAGCTGAGGTGGATATAGTTGACTTAGAGAATTTTTCTGGTTCCGCTATTTTGGCCTTACATTTGAAATTCACTTTGAATTCTCCCTTTAGTGAATAACTCAGATACAGTAATTATCAGGGAGCTACGACAAGATTTTTAAGGACACTCACTTTCCAACAGCAAACACAGATATCCCCACGACTGTCCCCCTCTGATAATGCAAGCGGTCGACCTCTTTAGAGTTGAATGTTCCCTCCCACACGATGGGGGCTCCCCAAGGAGTGACAGAGGGCTCTCCCGGAAAGCAGCTGGGGAGATATGGGCAAGAAAGCAGATAATATTTTAATTTCCACATTGGATACACAATGGTTGTAGAGCAATGTGTGATGGAACTGTAACTTGTGTTGCTCCTGTGCTGGGGATATAGATTGTACTTGTTGTGTGGGCAGTGCCACAGTATGATTAGGGATACCAGACCCACTGTGTTTTCATATTTAAAGGGTTGCCCTGCAGTATGTATAAGGCATATGCTGCAGGATTCTTATTTGCCTAATATACACCTTCTTCTGAATTCTACATACAACACGGCAACCCTTTTCATGTGCTGCCCATCAATGTGTATACATGATACGTGCCCATGAAAACATGGTGGATCTGGAAGCCCTGGCTACGACCCTTAAATATCCCTAATCCAGGCGTGGTGGGTATTGCACCGTCCCAGAATTTAAGACACTTACAGGGTTATTCAGTAAAGTGAGAATTCAAAGCGTTATAGCGTTAGAAATACAAAACAAAATTCATTGATGCTTTCAGCTGAGCTACTCGGCCCTTAAATTCAAAATTCTCTTTGAATTCACACTTTTGTGAATAACCCTTAATGTGTTCAATTAAATTGATTTGAAGCGGATGGGATTGTGTGTGCCCTAACTTCTCTCAATACACACCCACTTCATTCTTCATAACATTTCTCATGGATAGAGGGGGACACTTTAATTTTAGTGGTGTGGTGTGAGTGAGGGTTTGGCCATGGGCTGCTCCGAGAAATTTTCGGTCCCTTACTAATAATTTATAGAACGAATATGTCATTTAGAAGAAGAACAATGTATCCTATTTACACAGACTGATTTCTCAACACATTTTATTGTAGTTTAACCCCTTAAGGACTGAGCCAAATGTACACGTTGTGATCAAAACAAAACATTAAAAAAAACCCTGAATTTGCGCTATATGTCTGTTCAGGCGTAATTCACCTCTTTCATATTATGTGCACCCACACTTATTATATATAATTTTATTCAGGGGAAACTGGGCTTTCATTTAACATCAAATACTTAGGTATGAAACATAACTTAATATGAATAAGATATAAAAAATGGGAGAAAAAAAGAATTTAAGAATACAAAATGGGAGAAAATAAGAATTTTTACAAATTCTTTAGTTCTACATGACATTTTAACTGTGAATGTCATAGTACTGTTTGCTTTTATTGCAATAAAATACACATATTTGTAATCAGCGATGTCTCACGTGTAAAACAGTACCCCCTATGTACAGGTTTTATGGTGTTTTGGGAAGTTACAGGGTCAAATATAGCACGTTACATTTTTCAGTTTTTTCACATTGAAATTTGCCAGATTGGTTATGTTGCCTTTGAGACCGTATGGTAGCCCAGGAATAAAAATTACCCCCATGATGGCATACCATTTGAAAAAGTAGACAACCCAAGGTATTGCAAATGGGGTATATCCAGTCTTTTTTAGTAGCCACAAACACTGGCCAAGGTTAGTGTTAATATTTGTTTGTGTGTGAAAAATGCAAAAAAACTAATTTGAATGACAATTTTGTCCAGTGATTGTGACTAAGTGGCTACTAAAAAAGACTGGACATACCCCATTTGCAATACATTGGGTAGTCAACTATTGCAAATGGTATGCCATCAGGGGCATTCCTGGGCTACCGTACGGTCTCAAATGCAACATAACCAACCTGGCGAATTTCAATGTGAAAAAACTGAAATGCAAGCTCTAACTTTTGAAAACACCATAAAACCTGTACATGGGTGGTACTGTTAAACTCAGGAGACTTCACTGAACACAAATATTAGTGTTTCAAAACAGTAAAATGTATCACAACAATTATATTGTCCGTGTAAGTGTCATTTGTGTGTGAAAAATTCAAAAAATTTCACTTTCACTGACAATATCGTCGTTGTAAAACATTTTACTGTTTTGAAATACTAATATTTGTGTTCAGCGAAGTCTTCCTAGTAAAACGGTACCCCCCATGTACAGGTTGTATGGTGTCTTGGAAAGTTGCAGGGTTAAATATAGTGCTAGCAAATTAAATTCCCTGGACTTTCTGCCTGGGTTGTCAGGCAGGTCCCGCAAATTGTAATTAATAAAATTACCTAATTCTGTAAAATTATTACATAAATATATATACGTAGAAATATTATGTATATATATATACGGTGTGTAAATATATATGTATATATATCATTTATATATCTTTTTTAAAATTATATTATTTCGCTCTACCTGTATTTTGATATCAATATATATTCATTTTAAAATACAGTTAGAATGAATTTACACACACATATATATATATATATATATATATATATATAATTTTTTTTCATTTTTTTAACGTATTTACATATTTATTTTATATTATATATAAATATGTATAATGAAAATTATATATATATATTTAATCAATATCATTGTATGTGTATTTTGATATTAATATATATTTATAATTATATATATATTAAAATACACTTAGACATTGTATGTGTATGTATGTAATCTATATATATATATATATATATGATCTAAGTATATATTTTATTTTAAACTGTATCTTTAACTTTTATTTTTACTATTTACAGGCAGCAGGGGGAGTACCAGTCATTATAGGCACTCCCCCTGCTGGCATTGCTATGGACGGCTATGCTGTCCATGTGATTGTGAGGTCCTCGCAAGGACCTCGCGATCACATGGCACAGGGGGGCCGGAGAGGAAGGAGGGGGACTCCCTGGGCTTCCCATTACACACATTCTAATTCACTTCCACTATACACACCACATTCAATCCTGCATCTTTTGCAGTGGACTAGGTAGGAGTCCTGTGGGCAGGAGGGGGTGTAGGGAGGCCAAGACCTTGTGCTGTGTCAGGGGCCCCAAAATTTCTGGTGGCGGCCCTGTAGAATGCCAACCGACCTTAAGGGGTAAAAGACACATCACTGGGAGTATTATTGCTGTGGAGCTCTGTTATTCACTCAGACACATCACTGGGAGTATTATTATTGTGGAGCTCTGTTATACACTCAGACACATTACTGGGAGTATTATTGCTGTGGAGCTCTGTTATACACTCAGACACATTACTGGGAGTATTATTGCTGTGGAGCTCTGTTATACACTCAGACACATTACTGGGAGTATTATTGCTGCGGAGCTCTGTTATACACTCAGACACATTACTGAGAGTATTATTGCTGTGGAGCTCTGTTATACACTCAGACACATTACTGGGAGTATTATTACCATGGAGCTCTGTTATACACTCAGACACATTACTGGGAGTATTATTACCATGGAGCTCTGTTATACACTCAGACACATTACTGGGAGTATTATTGCTGTGGAGCTCTGTTTTACACTCAGACACATTACTGGGAGTATTATTGCTGTGGAGCTCTGTTATACACTCAGACACATTACTGGGAGTATTATTGCTGTGGACCTCTGTTATACACTCAGACACATTACTGGGAGTATTATTGCTGTGGAACTCTGTTATACACTCAGACACATTACTGGGAGTATTATTGATGTGGAGCTCTGTTATACACTCAGACACACAACCAATATGGAGCTCCTAGAAAAGATGGACATTAGGAGAGAAAGGGGGGACAGAGTGCCATGGGCCCCAAATAGGGACTGTCCCTCCTAGATATGGACACTGTAGAGGTGGACCACTACAAGGATGCATTTCCTATCTACATACAAGTCTCTGCTGGGTAGAGGGGGAGTCAGTGTTGCAGTTGCCTATGTTATATATTCCGGGTCTCTTAGTGTGGTTAGATGAGCATAGGAGGGTATTAGGGACAGACATGAATGTAAAATACTCACATTAAGCTCTTCCAGTAGATAACACTACACAGAGTGAGGAGAAAAATATAAAAACAGATTTTGCGCAAACGACTCTAAAAAGAGAAAAAAAGAGATGTGTTTATTTATCTGCACTAACCGCAAATATAAATCCATTTATTTTTATTAATGCACAGACTGCAGGTTTACAAATTGGCCTTCCCCTGCTTGTTCTTAGTTTAGAAACTTTCCTTCAGACAATCAGAACCAACCCAGTATTTTGCTTGATTCCCCCTCCCTTCCTCACTTTAGTCTCATTGGCCGGATCCAGATTTTAAAAATGAGTATTCTACCCCGTTTACATTACCTTCTCCAAGCCCTACCCATTCATGTTCCGATGGCCTTTACTTGGTACAGTCGGTCTTTATTAATTTTGTTCGTGCGAACAAGAATTCCTGACTCAATAATGCCATCCTAACCTACCCCAGAGATCCATCACACCTAACATTAATTAAAACATATCTTCTGCAGTAACCCTTCCTTTCCTCATCACTGTCCCATCATTCCTGTGTCTCAGCCCCCTATTTATATTAGTTTCTTCTCCTATCTTGTCAAAGTTTCCCTTTTCCCTTTACGCCAGATACAATTGACCCCCCCATATAATGACACCTATTCTATATAACACCCTTTCTATAGGAGCTCACTACACTCTGCTTCTTTAACCCCTTAAGGACAAAACTTCTGGAATAAAAGGGAATCATGACATGTCACGGGTCCTTAAGGGGTTAAAGGACCACTATAGTGCCAGGAAAACAAACTCGTTTTCCTGGCACTATAGTGCCCTGAGGGTGCCCCCACCATCAGGGTCCCACTCCCGTGGCGCTGAAGGGGGAGGAAGGGGCTAATCCCTTACCTTTTCACCAGCGCCGGGCTCCCTCCGCGCTGGGACTCTCCTCTTCTGACGCCACCGGCTGAATGCGCATGGGCGGCAAGAGCTGTGCGCGCATTCAGCCAGTCTCATAGGAAAGCATTATCAATGCTTTTCTTATGGACGCTGGCGTCTTCTCACTGTGAAACTGCTATGTTTACAGCAAAAAGGGTTAAACCTAGATGGACCGGCACCCATCATTAAGCTGAAGTGGTCTTGGTGCCTATAGTGGTCCTTCCCTCTCTCCCGGTCTTCACCCAATCCACCTGTTTCTGATTCCGTTACTAGGTCCCCATTTAATTTACCCCATTTCTTTCTCTCTCAGTACTGCATTTCTTCAGATTAATTTTGTTATTATTATTATTTATTTATTCTCTTCCCATTTCATATTCATACACTGCTATTATCAAATGTCTGCCCGGGGGAGGAGGGTAAATCTTGTCTACTGCTTGTAACAAAGGTGTTTGTTTACTTACCTGAGATTTGTGGGTAGTGGTTCATTTTTTGGAGGAAAAACAGCCGAGATGAAATATGGGAGAATTTTTCAGTTTTGGCCTACAATTTGCGATTAACTTGACATAACTATTTACAGGTTAGTGAACAAACCCCAGAATACCAGCCAGGGTTGTAACCTGTGTGGTCCAAGGTATATCAGACATTTATTTACGTACTTAAAAAAACAGGTTTAGAGTCTAGAATATGAACTGATTGCTTTTGTTGCTGAGAATAAACGTTGCCGTGTTAAAGAGGACAGCTACAGAGCCACGTGCCAGTATATCGTTATATTATTTGGGGGATTGGAGAACTACACACACTCTGGGGATTGCAATATCACAATACTCCCCTGAGTATAACGACTAGCTCTTCTAAGAGCTGTTCCTGCTACCCTCTCTAGACTAGGAGAGGTCTACCCACTGAAAACTGGATCCTGGTCTTTGGTCCAGGGTGGGTGGCGGGTAGCGAGACCCCGACCAAGCAGTGGCGCTTCGTGGGGTTTGCGGTGGTTATGGTGTCCAGTGCGGTGCTTATGATACTCAGGGATTACTAGGAAGCAGCGATTGACGGAGGTACTCGGTAGGGGTGCAAGGTGGTCTGTCACAAGTGTGACCTTGTTAATTAAGTTCTATTCCCCTCGGGGTTGTAAGGGAGAATATGTCAGTTGGAAAGGTTACCTAAGCTAATCTATCATGGTCCTGCTTTCCTCCATGAATCAGGGTGTTGGCTGGCTAACCCACGCTCTCAATCCCAATACATAGGAGCTCTGGGATGGAATGGAGAGAGGTTTCCAAGTCCTTCTGACCTGTGAGAGTCACTGCGCCACTCTTTAATCTGGCTCTACCGGATAATTGCTAATTTGCCTCATGGTGGTGCTGGCCCTAAAACCATGAATGAAACTATATAGACAATAGAGCCCCAAAATAGCTGCACCTCATTATTGTATAAAATCCCAAACAGAGTTTAGATAATGAAAACATAAACCCTTCTTCATCGCCTGTGGATTGAGCAGTGGTAACATCACCGCCTTAGAACTGGGAACACAGTTTAGCATTGTAGTGTAACTAATAGGGGGAGGGGTGCAGGATTTTTTGTCAAAAAGGGGGGTGCGTGTTTTTTGTGGAGAAGGCGGGTCAGGGATTTTTGTAAAAGGGGCAGGGGTTTTTGTGAAAAGGGAGCATTGGGGTTTTGTGAAGAAATGGGGGAGCAGGTTTTTTTGTGACGGAAGTGGGTGCAGGGATTTTTGTAAAGGTGAGGGGTGCAGATATTTTTGTGAAGAAGGGGAGGTGCAGGGGGTTTTGTGAAGAAGGGGGTGGGTGCAGGTTTTTTTGTGAGGAGGGGGGGTGCAGGGATTTTGTGATGAAGAGAGGATGTAGGGGGTTTTGTGAAAAAGTGGGGGCAGGGGCTTTTGTAGAGAGGAGACAGGGTTTTTGTAGAACGGGCAGGTGTTTTGTAGACAGGGGGCTGACCAGGATTTTTGTAGAGGGGCATGGTTTTTGCATAAGGGGGGCTGTGCATGTTTTTTGTAGAGGTGGTGTGGACTGGGTTTTTGTAGAGGGGGCAGGGGTTTGGTAGAAGGGGGACTGGGCAGGTGTTTTGTAGAGGGGGAGTGGTTTTGTAGAAGGGGGGCATGGCAGGGGATTTTTAGAAGGAGGCAGGTGTTTTGTACAAGTGGGGACAGAGATTTTTGTGAAGGGGGGCTCGACAGGGTATTTTAGAAGGGGGTGCAGGGTTTTTAATAATACATGGTTCTCATCAGAGGGAAACCAATCTGATTATCCCATCACAGAGCCAAAAATAACCCTTTAATGCCTTAAGGACACATGACATGAAAAACAACATAAAAACAATGAAATAGATTAACACCCTCATTGTAAATGGCTAATTCTACAAAACCACAGAAGACAAAAATTACACAAACTGAACAAACAATTAATGAGCGACCCCACCACCTCTCCCATAATGAAATCACATACGATGCATTGTTTCATTCTAACTGACCACGTATAAATACTGGTATCTCTCCTTTAGACACCGACATATTCCCAACTCAGCCAGGTTAGCGATTTCTTCCAACTCTGTCCTTGATTTAATATTTTGAAAACGGTTTTAATGTTTAAATGTTTTTTTAATAGTGCAATCTTTCTTGCTATTTTATTTAAAAAATCCTTTTAGTTTATGTTTATATATTTTTTGCTATTTTAATATTAAAAAAATAATCATTTTAAAAGTTTATCCAAAAATATTAACTTACTTGTAAAACACATCGAACTATATTAAATCAAGGCCTCTGTTATTAATATTTTGGTGTTCGTTTTGTAAGTTAATTATCAAGTGACTGTTTCACTGGTGGCTCACAATTAGGTACATTGCGCACCTGACGCAGTTCCCGTTGGCAGAGCCCCCAGCTTCTGGGAACAAGACCCCCTGCCTGCTGGCTCCCAATGTCTCTCCCCAGATGCAGTCTGTGTGGAAGGGATAGTAGTGATTCCCTGGATGGCACAGGAGTTACTATTCTTCAAGTCATCACACAGTCACATTGTGCCATGAGAACCATGATATGTGCCAGATATTAGTTCTACATATGAAGTGTGCTGATTCCTCTCAATATGCCAGACTGTCAGGGGACTAACTCCCATCCCACCCAGCCACACTCACAGGTAAACAACATAAATAAAAACCTATATCAAATGGGGGAAGAGAGGGAGGGCGTAACAGTCGAGCTGACAAGACGCACCTCGCTCGAGCTCTGCCTCTGACAACATGATATCCTTTCCCATGCTGTCTGCATTATATATGTAAATTGTACGATTGCTCTAGAAAAGATTTAGCTGGATTGGGACCCCACAGAGATGTGCAGTAAACATGGCTTTAGTATCGGCTGTCTCTCTCCACTGAGGTTCCTTTAGAAAAACGCTAATGATCCCTAATACACTATACAGCTGGCTTATGCTACAGAAAAAAATATTCTCGTATATTCTACAAATACAGAACGTTACTACAGACATATACAAAGTTACTAGGATGTTCTAGAGCAGGGGTAGGCAACCTTTTGGAACTCCAGATATTGAGGACTACATCTCCCATAATGCTCTTACAGCCATTATACTGGCAAAGTATCAGGGGAGATATAATCCACAACATCTGGTGTTCCGAAAGATGTCTACCCCTGTTCTAGAGACATAGAAAGTTACTCGCACATGTTCTAATCTAGAAATACAGTGAGGGAAAAAAAGGATTTGATCTCCTGATGATTTTGAACATTTGCCCACTGAAAAAGAAATGATCAGTCTATAATTTTAATGGTATGTGTATTTTAACAGTGAGAGACAGAATAACAAACAAAAAGAAAATACAGAAAAACGCATTTCAAAAAAGTTATAAATTGATTTGCATGTCAATGAGTGAAACAAGTATTTGATCTCCTATCAATCAGCAAGATTTCTGGCTCCCAGGTGTCTTTTATACAGGTAATGAGCTGAGATTAACAGCACTCTCTCTTAAAGGGAGTGCTCCTAATCTCAGCTCGTTACCTGTATAAAAGACACCTGTACACAGAAGCAATCAATCAGATTCCAAACTCTCCACCATGGCCAAGACCAAAGCACTGTCCAACGATGTCAGGGACAAGATTGTAGATCTACACAAGGCTGGAATGGGCTACAAGACTATTGCCAAGCAGCTTGGTGGGAAGGTGACAACAGTTGGTGCGATTATTTGCAAATGGAAAAAACACAAAATAACTGTAGCTCTCCCTCGCTCTGGTGCTCCATGCAAGATCTCACCTCGTGGAGTTTCAATGATCATGAGAATGGTGAGGATTCAGCCCAGAACTACACGGGATAATCTTGTTAATGATCTCAAGGCAGCTGGGACCATAGTCACCAAGAAAACAATTGGTAAACACTATGCCGTGAAGGACTGAAATTGTGCAGCGCCCGCAAGGTCCCCCTCCTCAATATAGCACATGTACAGGCCCGTTTGAAGTTTACCAATGAACATCTGAATGATTCAGAGGAAAACTGGGTGAAAGTGTTGTGGTCAGACGAGACCAAAATGGAGCTCTTTGGCATCAACTCAACTTGCTGTGTGTGGAGGGGGAGGACCCCAAGAATACTCTCCAAGACCCCCAGAATACTCTCCTCACAGTCAAACATGGAGGTGGAAATATTATGATTTGGGGGTGTTTTTCTGCTAAGGGGACAGGACAACTGCACCACATCAAAGGGACGATGGATGGGGCCATGTACCGTCAAATCTTGTGTGAGAACCTCCTTCCCTAAGCCAGGGCATTGAAAATGACGTGAATGGGTATTCCAGCATGATAATGACCCAAAACACACAGTCAAGGCAACAAATGAGTGGCTCAAGAAGAAGCACATTAAGGTCCTGGAGTGGCCTATCCAGTCTCCAGACCTTAATCCCATAGAAAATTTGTGGAGGGAGCTGAAGGTTTGAGTTGCCAAACGTCATCCTCGAAACCTTAATGACTTGGAGAGGATCTGCAAAGAGGAGTGGGACAAAATTTCTCTTGAGATGTGTGCAAACCTGGTGGCAAACTACAAGAAACGTCTGACCTCTGATTGCCAACAAGAGTTTTGCCATTTAAGTCAAAGGGGTCAAATACTTATTTCACTCATTGACAGGCAAATCAATTTATAACTATTTTGACATGTGTTTTTCTGGATTTTTTTGTTGTTGTTGTTATTCTGTCTCTCATTGTTAAAATACACCTACCATTAAAATTATAGACTGATCATTTCTTTGTCAGTGGACAAACGTTCAAAATCAGCAGGGGATCAAATACTTTTCCCCTCACTGCATAGAATGTCACTTTCACATGTTCTAATCTAGAAATATAGAATGTTACTTGCAAGTTCCAAGACTGACATATAGAGAGAGAGAGATGGTGAGAGAAAAGAGAAACTTAGTGAATGAGATATAAAGAGAGAGAGACTCCACCTGACCAGACCTTTGTTTTAATTTTTTTTTAACTTTGATATTAATTTTTAATACCTTAATATAAACAACCTTTAACGACAATCAATCTCTTTCTATAATATATTTCTTATTATTGACATGTTCATTTTGACTATATATATAGTCTGACATATCAATGGATGGAAACATACATTTATATTCACCTGTTTGATTGTGGTGCTAAATTGTGTTATTATTACTATTATTTTTGTTGAAAAATGTATCAATAAAAATATTTGAAAAGTGAATAAAAGAGACAGAGATAGTAGAGAGAGATAAATGGAGATAGTGAAATAAACGGATTAATGATAAAGAAAGTTTATCTCCTCTCACCATGTTCACCATATTCCAGTTCAGTGCTGTGTGTGAGCCCAGCCCCGTGTGTTACCTGTCCAGGTGATTCACTGAGCGTTCTGACACTGAGAATTCCTTAATACTTCTCTCCTCGAGAACCAACCCGCCCATTCCCTGCAAGGGTTAATCATCGCTTCTCTCTCAGTGTTGGGATTACCTGCTCTCCAGAACAGCGTGGGGATTTAGAATACATTATAGGTAAAAATAAAAATATTCCTTCCTGTCAACACTGGTTTTAACACTTACCGACGGAGGCAAGATCTGAACCTATATGACCTGTATGATCATATAATGTAACTAAACCCCCATTATTTTTGCTTAGATTAGGTGTTTTTAAAAAACAAACTAATAAAATCTGTCAGCATTGAAGTTGCTGTTTAGTGGATAGGTGAGTGCGCTGGATCTTGTGTATTGTATAATTTGGCCCCCAGCAGCACCTTATTCATGCATGTTCAAGTAAGTGCAGCCAGCCCGCTGGTTTCATATATATATATTTGGGAGTCTAGCCAACTCCTTGGTTTTGCGCCCCTCCCTGTTACAGTTCCCTCATCCCAGGGACCTTTTTAGTATTGTACTGCAGAGAGCCCCAGATGGATTTTTTTCCCCAAGTAAGTGGGTTAATCTCATAAGAGCAGACATTAGGCTGTTAGTGTAGGACCTGCCAAAGATGGGGTACATTGACGTTGTGGCAGGCTTATGCAATGTATGATCATATAATGTAACTAAACCCCCATTATTTTTGCCCAGATTAGGTGTTTTAAAAAAAAACCAAATAAAATCTGTCAACATTGAAGTTGCTGTTTTGTGGATAGTTGAGTGCGCTGGATTTTGTGTACTGCACCGAAAGAAAACCTGGAATTTAAGCTGTATGTCTGTTTAATCATAATTTTACAGCAATTAAACACTTGTGCGCTGTGCAATGTCCCGCAAGTACAACAATCCCCCCCACGTACAGGTTTGTTTAGGTTTTTGGAAGTTACAATGCCAAGTATGGGCACAAGCCTTCATTCACGAAAATTTGACAAATTAATTTTCTATGTTGTCACTGAGGAAGTGTGGCAGCCCAGAAAATAAAATGACCCCCATGATGGCATACAATGTTCAAAAATAGACAACCCAGCGTATTCTAAAAGAGGTATGTCATGTTTTTATACAGCCAAATTTTACATTTATTGCTCATAGTTTTTTTTTTGCTTTTCTTTTTTAACACTAACTGCAATTTTACTGTTTATGTCATCATCAGTATATGTTTTACAGCAATAAAACACCCATATTTCTGTTTTGTTTACACTTGAAAAAGCCCTTATAATGGCGAAACGCGTTGCGTTGTTTTACTATTCTATTTTTTAGCATTAGGATATTTGGCATCAACTTATTTGTGTGTTTGACCATTTATTTTACTTTTTCTGCTTTTATTATTTTTTTATTATTTTATTCTGTTCTTGACACACCTAATGCTTGGAGTATCCACCCTACATCTGTACCCTGGTGAGAATTTACCGGACAATTTATCCCTGGTGGGGATTAAACCACCAAGGCGCTATTAATTCAGCAGTATCACTGCTCAACTAAATGTGAGTAAATTACTATTATTCTTATCTGTCAATATATTTTACCACAGTGAGCACTATTGTTTGTTTTTATATTGTTTCCGGTATATTTACCTGCAAGCGGAGAAATTGATCTATAAAACTACATATCCGCCAGTGGGGATTATGCCTCTGTATGCTGTTTTACTTGGAGCTGGTCTATAGCTCCATCAAATGTGCTAGTTTTCATATCTGTGTTGTGAGTCCACACCTAGAACTAAACATATTACACTATTATTGGCCATCTCTTTGTTTTATTTCACATATTTTGGATTACAAGCCGAAGTCTGGAGAACCGTTAAGTAAGCAGCACAAAAGCATTCTCTGAATATGTTGGACTGTATTAACCTATAAATAACCTATTTTTGCTTGTATAATGGTGTTTTCTCTTTAGTAAAAATGTTACATATACGGGTATTAAAAGGACACTATAGTCAACAAAATAACTACAGCTTAATGTAGTTGTTCTGGTGAGTATAGTTAGTCCCTGCAGCCTTTTTCTTGTAAACACTGCCTTTACAGCTCCCTAGGGACACCTTCAGTGGCCGCTCCTTAGATGGCCACTAGAATTACTTTCTGGGGCCGTGCTGCAAAGTGTGCAGCACTAACGTTCAGCGTTTCTACGCTCTGCATGGAAACGCTGAACTTTCCTTATAGAGATTGATTCAACACATCTCAATGAGGTTATGCTGACTGACCAGACCAGCGTTTGGCTATGCCCCTGCCCCACCTCCTTTATGATTTCAGCCAATTCAATGCTTTCTGATGTATTTCTGATTATGTCCATAAAGGAGGCGGATCTGGGGTGGGGACAGGGTGATGGAGGTTTCTGGTAGGTTAGCAGTCATGACCCTATAGTGTTCTTTTAAACTTGTAAGTGCAATATAAGCATAAATATTAAATGCACACTATAATCACCAGAACAACTACAACTTAATGTAGTTGTCAAGGTGTCTATAGGATGCCCCTGCAGGCTTTTTTATGTAACAACTGCTGTGACAAGACCAATCTCGCCACTATGCATTGGAGGAGCCTGGTTGCCCGCCTGCTGCCTCTATGGTTTTTCCTATTCGGCTGTTTACAGCATTCACATGTTTGAGAGCATTCGTATGCTTCTCTGGTTCAGTGGATTGGTGTCTACAGTAGCTGTGCCTGTGTCTCTGAAAGGGAAGATCTACTAAACGGTGGTTTAACCCTTTTATGCTTGGGGGTGCCGTTACAACTAGAGGTGGATTTAGCACTCTGGGAAGCAGATCACTCCTCTCGCGAGCAGGCTGTGTGGGGCGTTGATGCACGTTACCATGGCAACACTCCACACAGCAACTCGGCGGGGGAGGACAGGAGAGCCTGCAGCCAGACGAGCTGCAGGCTACATAGAACTTACCACCGCTGGACCACCAGGGCGGACTGTGTCCCACCCTTCTTCACCAAATGTAAGAAAAAGGGAGGAAGGATGACGATTTTATTAATGTATAGGATTATTAAAAAACCAAAAACACACCCTCAAACTCTGCAACATACACACACAGCACCCCCCAACACATACACAGAACTCCTTACACACACACAGCATTCCCCCCACATGCACAGCACCCCCACACACAGCACTCCTTATACACAGCACAAACACACACAGCACTCCTCACACACAGTATTCCGCAGTCTGTGGCGTGTACTCAGCGGACTGTGGGTACGTATTCAGCAGTCTGTGTATGTTTGTGTTTGTGTATACAGCGGACTGTGTGCATGTATTCATCAGACTGTGTGTATGTATTCAGCAGTCGGTCTGTATGTACTTGGCAGTATGTCTGTGTGGGTATTTAGCAGTCTGTGTTTTCAGCAGTCGGTGTGTGTATGTATTCAGCAGTCGGTGTGTGAATGTGTTTAGCAGTCTGTGACTGTATTCAGCAGTCTATGTGTATGTATTGTATGTATGTATTGCATTTGTTTGAGATACTAATAAATATAAGCTTAATTTTATCTATAATTTAAATTTTTATTCCTGTGAGTTGTGTGTAGGCAGACCTCCAGTGCACTACTTTCCCCGGAGGCCCATAATGTTGTTAAGATGGCACTGCTCCTAGTCCACCTCACCCCCTGTGTGCCTCTTGCCATAAACCCTGTCATGAACGCACCCTGTTCCAAGAGTGTGCGGGATGTAGTTGTGGTGGTGAAAGGGTTAAAGTTCACTATTTGTCTGCACTAGACCAGAAATAATGACAAAATCCCCCTTTTAACATCACCCACACTTAAACATAATAATATAACTATTACTATTTTAACGCTGCCACCACCAAGACAATTTATAAATGTTGAAATGCTTGATTTTCCACTGCAAAGGTACTTGCCCTATTTGAACAGTGATACCCCAGATAGCTATGCCATGGAGCCCATTTGTATAATGAAAGACTATGTGAAAGACTTTGGCTCCATGGCAATTGAACTGTATGTATGTGATCTGAGTGCCATTCAGTAATAATGTGTGCTCAGGTCTAAGCTATCTGTTGAATGTACCTGTTTTGTGCAATGGCTGCACAGTTATATATTTTTATGTATTTTATTGTCTTTTGCTACCATGTATTCAATGGAGTTTTGCCTCTGTCCTTGGAGATAATTGGATTACTTCCCAATTATCTCCAGGATAGAAGACTCTGTGGAACTGATTTTGGGCAGAAAAGCCATGCTTCATTTGGTC